ATGTTGTTGTGCAACACTGAAGGCCACACAAAGTTTAGCTATTGACTCTGTAGACAGTTGACGACTTCTGCGCACTGTGCGCTTCAGCATGCACTGACCCCACTCTGCCATTTTACGTGGCCTACCACTTGGTGGCTGAGTTGCTGCTGTTCCCAATTGCTTCCACTTTGTTATAATACCACTAACAGTTGATCATGGAATATTTAGTAGCAAGGACATTTCACGGATGGACTTATTGCACAGGTGACAACCTATCACGATACCACGTTTGAATTCACTGAGCTCCTGAGAGCGACCCATTCTTTCACAAATGTTTGTAGAAGCAGTCTGCATGCCTAGGTGCTTGATTTTATACACCTGTGGCCATAGAGGTGATTGGAACACCTGAATCCAATGATTTTGAGGGGTGTCCCCATACTTGTGGCAATATATAAATAAGCTGGTGTGGTCTATTGTTTTGTTGGCTGATGGGGAGGTGGTGTTTGTGGTGCTATATTGGTGAGACTCTGCAGATATCAATGATTCAAGCTTGTGGCTGCCTTTTTGTGAATTTTTGTGAACGTGTCTTCCATAGATATTAACTATTGTCATTTTTATTTAATAGTGGCTTTATGCATTTCCACCTTATCTCAACCAAATGAGCATCGGGTTTTTGGCCACCCCCCCACCAAATGGTGTTCTGAATAGTCTTGACAGAGGTAAGCACCTTAGTCCACGAAATATATATATGTCAATTGCAGCATTATAGGTATTTATTATTTCTTTTGTATTCATATTTCAGTACCCAGATTCATGTTTTTTTGGTTCCTTTGATGAGATACATTTAAGCTAAATGGGACGATAACATCTATTCATGCTGCTTATATATGTAGTGCTGCAAATTTCATGCCTTAAAGGTATATTTTCTCATATTTAATTTGTAGGTTATTTTTTGTTTTCAGATAGTTTCTTAGTTTTTAGTGTATGTAGATTAAGTTTATAGTTTTATGTATTTTATTTCCCTATCCAGCTTGGGTGTGTCCCTCCAGTAGCCGTGAGAACCGTCACTCTGTCAGGGCTATATAGAGGATCAAATGTCAAATCAAACTATACCACACTTTAGCCAGTATCATCTTGCATATCGTTTGCAACTCATGAGATGTGTATGAATTTGTTTTGTAAGTGGCCCTCCACCAACTTTTGAAATTGGTTTACATATTTGTATGATGTATATTAAGCACAGTCTGTAAAGATTTGAACTTGTTTCAATGGCCTGTACATGAATACAATATATGCAATTTTTTGTAATGAATATGAATCTGTTGTAGGTGTTATATAAATATCTCCTGAAGAAGACTAAAAGAGGCAAAACATGTTGAGAAATATTACTTTTTTTTTGAACGATTACAACCAATAATGTTTGGATATTGAAGTGTATTTCTTTTAATTGAGATTTTAATTGATTCATTAATAAAAATTGTACATTTTAGTTTTTGTTGTTGCTCTATCATTGTTTGGCACCCTAAAAATCCCATTATCTCCCCTCCACTTCTTTTTCCCCCCCTTCTTTCCCTTTTTCCTCTTCTTGTTATTTTGTTTAAATTTGGGATGTGATGCCATTGAACTCCCCTCTGAACGCTACCACTCTTGTTTTTTTTTGGCAATAGAGTGTAGTAGTGAATGTCAATGACTCCGAATAAAAGTTTAAACAAAATTAACAAATTAATTTGTTTCATGTGGATGATGTCACATGATGCAATAGTAGTTTGGGCCTTTGGGCAAATTGATAGAATTGTCTAATTTATTTGATAATTCTGATACAGGTAACAAATGAATCAAATTTTGTTCCACTTCTTAATTCAGATGCACATGACGCCAGTCAATATTGTCCAATCAGCTCATGTCATTTCTCTTGGTGGGTTGGACTAGAGCCTGAAAATATCAAATCCTTCCAATTCAAATTCATCCGATTCGATAATATATTGAATATATAGCAATCATCCACAAAAACTTCAACATTTTTATCACCTAGACCAACTAATATATGGAACAAATGCCAAAGATAACAAACTAATTCTGAAAATGAGTCAGTTCAACATAAGGAATATGATGAAACAAAATTCTTCAATGAACAAATGCATCTGAAATGAAACAAAACAAAAATTTCTTGCATGCACATGTCTACTTAACCCTTTGAGGACCGTAAGATTTTGGAACGCCAAAAGAATCAATTTTTTTGTTTTTAAAGTTCGTACACTTCAGTTGCTGTAACTAAGCCATTTCATGAAATAATTGGCAAAAAGCTAGATCCATTTGTTTGTTGATAAGAACTAATATTTTGACTCAAACCAAAAAAAAAAAAGAGTTTCAAGTTCGTATTCAGATGATACACGCAATTAAAAACATGGGACAAATACGTCCTTTGGTCCTCAAAGGGTTAAGATAGCCAGGGAAGGGTCTCCTTGGGAAACGTTTCCTTGAGGATCACTTCTCTAAGAAGACATATCCGTCACTTCTGATAACTGATGGAACATATTACCACTTGAGATGTGCGTAGTGAATTGAGGAAATTGATTTAGCTGTAAAATTGCAGATTCTCTGGTCAAGTTTTGCCGAAGCTGTTTCTCTCACTGAGCTGCTTAGCTGGAATTTGCTAGAAACAATGAACTACTTCTTTTTTCTGTAAATAGATGGTGTGAGTTTTGAATGTTTTTATGGGTAACTGTTAGTTAGGTAATTTCACTATGTTCTTTGTATTTTTTGTGTTTTTCCCCATTTTCTAGTAAAGCAATTCTATGGTCAAAAATTTAAATGATATTAATTACCAAATTGTATTTCAATTATTTCTAGCGTATTACTATTAATCTGAAGTATCTTAAAATTTGTAAACTTATGAAGTAAGCACTGTTCTGTCACACATTTCAAAAAGCCTTCTGAACTACAGAGGTGCTAAGTGGATGAGTAGTCAGGAGGAGTAGTCAGTACAGGAATCACTGGTTGCAAGCAGCAAGGTACCATGGGATATGTAGTCCTCAGTAAATTGGAAGTAAACAGCAGTGGAGAAGTTGCAAGTCATGCATGGAATCCAGGTAGTTGTGGAAAAAAATGGCCTCACTCCGGAAGCACCCACAACATAAAAGGAGATTTTTAAGGTATGGTTAGCTTGAATTGTCAACAATAACTATTGTTTGCATTGCTATTATGAAGCTGATGGTAAAAACAATGAATGAGTATATGCTTTGACCATTAAAATTAAGTAGGATAGATTAAAGTTGAGATGAGTCCAAAACTCCGATGCTGTTAGTCTCAGAGTAAATTTAATTTGATGGTTGGAACTGAATCTGAATTTTGGTGTTATTTTTGGTAGTTCAGATTCCTAAAAGAGTTCTGGCAAAAATGTATCAAAGACTCTTTCTGCTGTATACAGCATCTGCTTGTGCAGTTGCCTAGGCATCCTTAAGCTTGATTGATATTATCACCACTAGGTTCTATGGTTCTATATTAGTAATCCTGGTAAAATTGTTTAAAGGAAATGGCTCAGGTTGTTTTGTTTTGGCCCCATTACCTCATCAGTTGAAACTGCCAGGAGCTTCCTAAACCATTTTAGACAACCTTGCATCATTTGCTGCTCTGTGATGCTCACTTTTTTTTTTGGACTTCAAAAGGGCTTGTGGTTTGGAAATTCTACATTTCTAAAATCACAAATTTTTAAAAGGTTCTACCAAACCACAACTAATTGAAATTGTCATAAGTTTTCTATTTTGTTATCGAAAGGAGCTTATGTGACCTGTAGGAGCCGTTTAAAGTCAATTGCACTCTTATGAGCCATTAAAACCCACTTTAATTTTGTCTTTCCATTGAATTCAAACATTTATCCAAAATGGCAGAGTTCTGAAAAAAATTTTCTAATATTGCTGACATTTTTGGAAAATGAAAAAAACCTTTTATTTTGTCTCATCCCTATTTGTCACACAGTGATTTTCCAACTGAACTGAAAATATTCATGTGATTGGTGCCAATAGTTCTCTTTTTGATGGAGAACTAAGAATGAGGATTTTAGTATTCCTAATAATTCCCCTTTTTGACCAAAGCAATAGGAATTTTTGCAGTAGGGGTCCAATATTGCATTTTTGATCTTCCCTACATATCTTTATCAGATATTTTCCTTGTTTGCCTTTTTTCTCTATTGTGTAACTGAACATTGGCCAACTGACTGCACTACAAGGCTTTTTTATTTGATGTTCTTTATGATACATTCTATTATACATGTGCTCACTATTTTTTAATCATCTGAAGAAGACAATATACTGTGCACCTGTAAAATATGTTTTCGTTCTTGTGTACACGCCAAGGAATATATGTTTGATAGCGAGGCTTTATGATTATTAAGTGCTGTACCATAGTTGTAAGTGTGTTTGTGTCCTAAAAGTGTCACCGCCTAAATCAGACAGACTTTATTTTTAGCTGGTTTACCCTCCAGAGGACTGCAAGGCGCTAATGCCTGTGGCAAGATTAGAATATTATGAAACAAGGTTTTCTAGAGAAGAACTAAACTGTACAATAGTGGCAATGTTCCTTTTCTTAAGAAAAAAAAAAGAGAAAATTATTTTATCTTGTGTCAGCTTCACTGGAAGTAAGCTCCTTTCCTTGTTTGTTCCCAAGATAAATACATTTATTGCCTGCACATAGACTTATAAAAATAGTATTATATTACTGTGAAAACAATTGTATTGTATTGCATTGTCCATTTATACTTAGCTGGGAAATACTTTAGCACATATGTGTACACAGCCTATTGCATTAAGGTGTGCACCCCAATGCTTAAACACACATGTGTGCATATATATTTTTATATGTAGGTAGTAGAGTGCTGGTTGCTTTAAATCTTAAACAGCAGTGTGTATAATATCAAGCACCATAAAGGCATGCAGATTGCTTCTACAAACATTTGTGAAAGAATGGGTCACTCTCAGGAGCTCAGTGAATTCAAGCGTGGTACCGTGATAGGTTGCCACCGGTGCAATAAGTCCATGCGTGACATTTCCTGGCTACTAAATATTCCACGCTCAACTGTTAGTGGGATTATAACAAAGTAGAAGCAACTGGGAACAACAGCAACTTAGCCATGAAAGGGTAGGTCACGTAAAATGACAGAGTGGGGTCAGCACATGCTGAAGCGCACAGTGCGCAGAAGCTGCCAACTATCTGCAGAGTCAACAGCTAAAGACCTCCAAACTTCATGTGGTCTTCAGAGTAGCACAATAACATTGCGTAGAGAGCTTCATGGAATGGGTTTCCATGGCTGAGTAGAATCCAAGCCTTACATCACCAAGTGCAATGCAAAGCATCAGATACAATGGTGTAAAGCACGCCACCACTGGACTCTAGAGCAGTGGAGACGTGTTCTCTGAAGTGATGAATCATGCTTTTCTGTCTGGCAAACCAATGGATGTGTTTGGGTTTGGCAGTTGCCAGGAGAACGGTACTTGCTTGACCGCATTGTGCCAAGTGTAAAGTTGGTGGAGGGGGGATTATGGTGTAGGGTTGTTTTTTCAGGAGTTGGGCTTGGCCCCTTAGTTCCAGTGAAGGGAACTCTTAAGGCTTCAGCATACCAAGACATTTTGAACAAATTCTTTGTGGGAACAGTTTGGAGATTACCCCTTCCTTTCCCAACATGACTGCGCACCAGTGCACTAAGCAAGGTCTATAAAGACATGGATGACCGAGTTTGGGGTGGAAAAACTTGACTGGCCTGCACAGAGTCCTGACCTCCACCCGATAGAACACCTTTGGGATGAATTAGAGCAGAGACTGCTAGCCAGACCTTCTTGTCCGACATCAGTGCCTGACCTCACAAATGCACTTCTGGAAGAATGGTCAAACATTCCCATAGACACACGCCAAAACCTTGTGGACGGCCTTCCCAGAAGGGTGGGTCAACTCAATATTTAACCCTACTAAGCCTGTGATGCAATCTAAGCCTGGGATGCCATTAAAGTTCATGTGTGTGTGTGAAGGTAGCCATCCCAATACTTTTGGCAATATAGTGTATATTACACTACAAATGACTCAATGCACACATGAGAAGGAACAAAAACCCAACTGCTGTACTCCAAAAAACTCAGGAATCAGACAAGTGAAAGTGGCTTCAGCCCAGCTCCTTCCAGATCACAGCCCTGATGTGTTGTGCCTCACCCACAGGGCTTAGTTATGACTAAGCCCTTTGGGTGGGGTGAAAAGTGTCCAGAAGTGTAGCATGGATGGAGCCAGGCTGAAGCCAATTTCACTTTTATGACACCTGGGCTTTTCTGGAGTGCAGCAGTTGTTTTTTTTTCTTCCTTCATGTGTGTGCGTTGAGCTGGGATGGGGTTTCTACATGCTGGCACCCTATTAATGCAGTTCACTGAAGTTAATTTGGATGAGGATTTGGAACTGCACCCAAAGCTCTTTCAGTTTATGGTTACAGTAAGCTTATCAAGATATTTAGAATTGTGGATTCAAGTTAGCGATATTAAACAAAGTAGGTAAATCATTTGTCATAAATGTGCTCATTGATAAATCAATGTGCCTTTATTTCTGACAGTGTATCTAAAAACAAAAATATAATAACTTCTAGATTTCCAGTCTTTAATACATTCAAAATCCAGCAGTGTTCCATCCTCTCCATCATTATCAATAAAATCTTTTACAATGTGCATGATACCTGTATAACAATTCAATCTTCTACTAATCCTAGGCTCCATGCTCTCCCTCCTCATTACATTTCCCTGTAGGATTCTTTCTGGAAACAAGCCTCACTTTCATTTCTCAGCAGTTCTTCCATGTCAGATGTCTTCCCTTCTGCTGAGCAATAGCAACTAGCAGACAGAGAGAACACTCTCAGTAAAATAAAGATAAAAAACTTAATTAAAAGTTATGCATGTAGATAGCTGGCCCTTTCAAGCTCACTGGCTATCCCTTTGCCCTTTACTGTTGTATCGCAATAGATAACTCATAATAAACTCTCCTCAATGCATTTGATCTGGAAATAGCTCTTTTTTGGCTAATAAAGTGTGTCCAGCTTAAAACGCATTGAGGAAAGTATCTTTTTTTTTTTTTTTAAACTGAAAACTTGAATAATAAAAAATAAAATTCCTGATACCCGCAGACTGGGGCAAGACACACTCAGGTCCACGTAGCCACAAGGCCAGAAGACCACATGACGAGCAATGGTAAGCAGTCTTCCAATTTTGGAGGGGAGAACAGAGTCCCTATGCACTTTATGTATGCTTGCACACAACCCTTCACATAACTTCAAAATATTATGGAATGGGTCAAATTAACCATGCTTAGAGAGGTCTTCATTGCCTTAGTGTCACTGAACTTCGCCAAGATGGATCATCATTCCAATGTGTCACTGAACTTTCTCAGCTGCTGTGTAAGTTATTTTTACAGGGCTAGTTTGCTGTCCCAGCACCCAACCCTCCTCTTTTCGCAGCATGGGCTTGGGACCATCCATGGCAGAGTTAAAGGATATTTATTTTAATTCTCTAAGAGGAAAAGTAATAGCCAGCAAATGTGGAAAGGCTTGCTACCCTTGTTGAAACATCCAGACACACTGCCTGTACTTGTACTGAAATCAAGAAATTCAAATGTAAATATACCTATTAAAATATATATATATATATATATATATATATATATATATATATATATATATATTTACACTTATTTTTTTTATCTATATTTTCCTAGGAGTGATCTCTGCTGGTTGCTGATGCTCAGCAGAAGTGAAAACACTTCACATGGAAAGCCTGCTAAGAAAGAGAGTGAGGTTTGGTTTTTAGAAAGAATCCCAGAGCAAAGTTGTAAGGAAATAGAACACAGGCCCCAAGAGTAGTAGAAGGTTGAATTGTTATAGTTTAAGATTCCTTTCACACAGGTATTCTGTTTGTTTCATCAGTTTAGTCACGTTTTTTTTCCAAGAAAAAAATGGATTCAGTTTTTCCATCAGTTTTTTACATCCACTATCATTGCAAAATGGATGCAAAAATTGACCATTTGTCTGTTTATACCCTTTGTTCACCCATTTAATTTTTTTAATGGAACAAAAAAAGGGCTTTGATCTGTTTCAAAAATTGGATGTTGATGGATGCGGATGGATGTAAATGGATGTAATAATCATGTATTTACATCAGTTTTTCCATAGAGATGCATTGATGTCCATTTTTCATTTGTCAGCCATGGATGAAAAGCAGGCAAACAGAACACCAAAAGAGGGGGCGGAAAGAGATGTGTTATCGATTATTGACCAAAGCTCATGAGGTGTATTCAGTCAACAGCTCCACCAATGCCAAGCATATTTAAAAGAGAAGTATGCACTTAAGGAAAAAAAATAATTTATACTCACCTAGGTGGATGCAGCATCGATCCAAAGCTGCATCTGTCCCCCCCTGACTCTGAACTGAGCAATCAAACACAGCTAGTCAAGGCTGTGAAAATATTCCGACAATATAGCCGAGTGACATCAGCCAACAGGGGACTTTAGCCTGTTGTCAGCTGAAAATGGGTCACAAGAGTGCCTAACAAACATCACTCCTATGACCTACAGGAGAAGTATAGGCAAAATAGCTTTGGCTTTCCTTACCTTTAATACATTTTATCATCTTTGATAGTATTTAGATCATCCATAGTCCTTAGATCTGTCACCCTAGGAGAAGAAGTGTGTTTGCACTGCCACTATAGGACAAGAAATATGTTGGGACTACCTACCAATTCCACCTCTCTGAATTTCCATGTCATGCTTGGATGTTTTGTAGTTCGCAGAGTAAACCTGGGCAGGGTGAATAACATTGCTTAAGATAATACTTCAGAATCCACAAAAACTTACAAGCTCACTGGACTCACTATCAGGATCAACATTTTTTGCACTTTTTAAACAGGTGTATAAAATGATTTACATTGTATACTGCATTGTTAGAGTTTACAATGTATATAGAACTTGCAATGTATGGTTTCTCTTGTCCAATGCTTTAGGTAGTGGAAGACGACCCCCAAACACTGAATTCAAGCCACAGTACACTGTGAAGACAGTGAAGCATGGTTGCGCAAGCATCATGATATGGGGATGTTTCTCATACTACGGTGTTGGGCCTATTTATCGCATACCAGGGATCATGGATCAGTTTGAATACATCAGAATACTTGAAGAGGTCATGCTGCCTTATGCTGAAGAGGAAATGCCCTTGAAATGGGTGTTCCAACAAGACAACGACCCCAAACACACCAGTAAAACGTGCAACATCTTGGTTCCAGACCAACAAGATTGACGTTATGGAGTGGCCAGCCCAGTCCCCAGGATCTTAATCCAATAGAAAACTTGTGGGGTGACATCAAAAATGCAGTTTCTGAGGCAAAACCAAGAAATAGAGAAGAACTGTGGAATGTAGTCCAATCATCCTGGGCTGGAATACCTGATCACAGGGGCCAGAAGTTGGTTGACTCCATGCAACACAGATGTACAGCAGTTCTCAGAAACAGTGCTTATACAACAAAATATTCATTAAGTGATTCAAAGGAAAGCAAAATCTTCAAACATTTTTTCAGTTTATATAGTGAATGTTTGAGTTTGTAAAAAAGAATACAAACACTACAATTTTTTTGAACCGTCTAATATTCACTTTTCTTCAATTTTTGTTAGAGGAACAACACAAATTTGATCTATTTTTCTTCATGTTTTGATTTGGAATAGAATGTGTCGTGTTCCCAATGCATTTGTGTGTATGGAAATAAAAGCTATTAGAAGGATATGGGGATATCACGATATATGGTGTACAGCCTCTAAAGATGAAAGTTTTTTCCTATTTTGAATCTGTCATTGAAACGTGGTAAAGGTCATATGTCTGGATTAGAAAAGAGATGTCTGGGTCCCTATAATTCATAGTCATAATCTCAGTTTTTGGACTAATGGGCAATCAATAGGATGCACCTGCAGCCACAAAATAAAAATGTGTGTAGTCATTGCACTGTGTGTAATACAGATCACTTTGCTGGAAGCTTTGCTTTTGTTAACTTACAATCTGTGACTAAAATGTTGCCAAACTGCTACTGTATTCAACCTGTGTGGATAAGAGAGGTACTTATATAGAAAGGAAAATTGGTATGTGTAGCTGGAGGTTGGACAAGTTTATACTGCTGCTGTGATTAAAGTGATTCAAAGGCTTTTTATTAATATTTTTTTTTTACAAAAATAACAAACGTGTCTATACTTACCTGCTGTGTGTAGTGGTTTTGAACAGAGCAGCCTGGATCCTCCTTTCTTGGGTCCCCTGCCAGTGCCCTTGGCTGCTCACTCCTGTTGGTTGCCCCCACAGCCCAGTCCCCTTCTCTCTTCTCATTGGCTCACTGGC